ACATTCATGATAGCATCGACGTTAATAATAAGGCGAAATTTGTATTATACGCAGATTACACAAGCCTATTTTTTTCTGGGGAAACCTGTGACTAATTATTTTATATGAAAAACTTTAGTTAATCAAATATAAAAAGCTAGGGGGACAGTGATTCACTAAAAAATAATATTGCCGCGCGCAGCTAGCCAAGTAGGCTGCGCGGCGTGGCCTACAATAAAGAAAGAAACAAAAAAAAAAAGAAACGCGGCCGTGGCCTAACGGTTACCGTGCCTGTATCCTAGGCGAAGTGCCAGGGTTCGATTCCTGGCAGCGACGCGCCTTTTGTTTATCCTTACAATATTCGAGCTCAGTTGGTAGAGCGCTCCCTTTGTAATGAAAAGGTCCCGGGTTCGATACCCGGACCAGGCGGATTTTTTCGGTCGCTCACCAGTCACCTAGCTGTGTTTAGAGATTTATGTTTGTCCTTTGTCCCTGTTGTTCCCCTTCTCCAGGGATTATTTTCGTCAGTCTTTTCCAGCTCGCTTGCACCTTTGCATTTAATTGCATTATAATTATAACTTTAAATTTGCAAGCTTCATTCTTGTTGGTGTTAGACTGGTGGCGGCTGATAAAACCCGTTTGCTCTACTGACGTCTAACCCCTGGTTAGCTCAGTTGGTAGAGCGCTCCACTTGTAATCGAGAATCCTCTTGCATGTTTGAGGTGCGAATGTTCTCGTCGCCGAACCTTCTAGGCCGATTGTTCCAGAAACCAACGTGTGTACATAAGGGGCCTCCGCATGGCGATCCTCAGTCAGTTTCGCCCAGCGTTGTGCCCGTTACCGAAAAGAAGTAACAAAATAGCGTTACTCGTTAGTTTGGTAAAAATTAACGCGTTACTGAACTACGTTACTTTTTTACATACGTAACGATATACCGTTACCGTTACTTTTCAAGAAGAACGAACGTTACTTTTACGTTAATTATACGTTACTTTTGTGTTCAAATACATATGTTTGGCAGCATGCGAACGGGGACTGCTGGAACACAAGCAGCCGACCAACACCCCTGATCTTTACATTGGTTTTAGTAACAGTCCGCTTCATACTATTACCGGAGTCTGATTTACTTCACTCTGTGGAACAGGACACCGGTTACCAGCACACTCTTTACAGGTTTAAATTTTTTTTTTTTATATTTTATTATGACTTTAGGGAAGTAAAGACTAATCAAGCCAAAGATTCTTTTGTGTACAAAAGTGGGTCAGGAACTTTCAGGTAGCGAGGGGGAAACGAGAGTAAAAAATTCCTCAAAGGGTGTTTCTTTTTTTTTCTTTTTTTTTTAACTAGAGAAACCAGCAAATCGCTTCGCCACTATACTCCGTTCCACCTTCAGTCCGAGCGCAGTGGACGCCACGAGCCATCCCAGCCGATCCAGCGCCGGGAGAAAGTCGCGTGACCTGCCGGTAAGGCGGGGCGACGCAGGGAGCTCAAGGTCGCATGACACTCCCTCAACGCCGCATTGGCTGGGATGGCTCCTAGCGTCCGCTGTGCTCGGACGGAAGGTGAAACAAAGTATAGTTGTCCACTGTTTGAAACGGATGTCTCTCTCTCTCCCCACCCTGTACACCTCTGCTGCACAAAGCAGAGGGGGAAGAGGAGGGAGAGGAGGGGGCTGTAACGCAGTCGTTCGTTCAAACCTTGCAATTGGTGACACCATGAAAAAGAAAAAAAGAAAAAAAAAAAACAGGAGGACGATCGGAATTAGCCGGTAACCCAAGGTATTTTTTTTTTTTTTTCGCCTTCGAGAAGCGAGATGGTGTCGCCTTTTAACGGGTGCCTTTTTTGGTCAGAAAGTATTTTTTTTCTTAATTTACTGTGACGGATGCTGGTTCCGTTCAGCGATAAGCTTGTGCAGGATCTGGAGATGGATGGGTGAATTCGCCACTTTCAGCGACGGTGCTACCGCGGAGTGAGAATTGCGCTCCATAGCTCCTGGATGATAGGCTTCAGAATAAAGGTGCTTTCCTAGACTTTGCTGACGTGAAACAATAAAGTAAGGCTCTAATACTGTTCGTATACTGCAAAACTAGAATTATGCGTCGCAGACCCAGTGTCGTACTGCTGTTCTACGACGATCGTCCAGATGACAGCCATTTTGATTGACACTAATACGACCCCTATAGGTCGTGAAAGTTGCGAATAGATAGACTGATAAGTGGAAACCACCATATTAGGAAATCGAAGTTTCAGAAGTCTTAGCCGCAAGATACGGCATTGCCTGGACATTGCGTGCTCGAGCGCAAGTAGTCACCCCTTGAGCAGATAAGCTAGATCCTCCATTGAACTTAGTGGCGTAAATTTAGTTCCCATAACGTCTCCAGTTTTATACACAAGATTGCTATTCTAAGCGTTAGATCAGGCGTGGTGATCTTTTTCCAAATACCTAATGTATTTCACCAGTTTTGGTCAAAAGTAACGAGTAACGAGTAACATGATTTGATAGCCGATACCGTAAAGAAGTGACGAAAATACTTTACTCGTTAGTCATTCAGAATAGTAACGAGTACGTTACTGCGTTAGCGAAAAATGTAACGCGTTACTAGTAACGTCATTACTAGTAATGCGTTACCTCCAACACTGGTTTCGCCCCAGCGTTCGACTCTGCTGTCACGCCGACTTCGACGCCCCCGAAACTCTGCTTTCTTCTGTTACATTTTTTTTAGTTTTTGGGCACAAGTTCGCCCCATTAAACGTTTAGTTTCTTCAGTTATTGTCACCTCATCAATTGTCATTCCTGACAATATTAATTAAACGAAAGCAGGGATTAAACGACTAAAAAATAAGCCTGTGGTTTCATCAAAAATTATCTGCGATGGCTCGTCTCCCACCAAAATTGTCAGTTGTTTGAAAAACTCTAGGCGTGCTTTTAGCGAGACAACCAGCTGAGATAGTCATATAAACTATATTATTCCAAAGCTTGCTCGGGTAGTGGGGATCGTAAATCACTACCGATCTGTTTTACCTGCGAGCGTTAGATTTTTACTTTATAAATCACTATTCTACTCCCATTGAACAGATTGTCATATGGCTTTGGGAACAAGAAGGACTAATATGGAAAAATGAGTTTGCTGCAGAATAAAATATTGAGCGGAATATGTAATGTGTAATACGACTTCCACTCAGCCGGTCTATTTCAGAACTGTAACATAATTAATATCTGCAAATTATATTACTACAGACTTTGTACTAGCTTTAAAATCGAAAAAAAGAGACTCGGGTTTTTTTAGAAATATTTGAGCCGTTAAGCAAAATTTTCCCACCGTACCCTACCCGTAACGCAGAGACATGGAGGTTGGTCACGTAGTCAACGAATTATGGCTGTCAAATGTTAAATTTCACACCCCCACATTTGCTAAATAGAGTTTGTATTGGTACTATTGATTTTGACAGTCTAACTTTTAGAGACATGCGCTTATATTTTTTTTTTTTTTTTTTTCAAGTTGTGTATTTCGGTGAACTTGGTTTGTAGGCATATGAACATAGATATGCGATGTTTCTGCTGTATAAATTGTCTTTTGTTTTCTTTGTATGTTTGTATGCTTTGTATGTTCTGTACGTTTCGTATGATTGTATGTTTGGTGTTCTGTTCTTTGTGGGAGACGTTATATTTAACAGAAGACTCCTTTCGCGATTCTTTTTTTAAATCGCACAATATTAAGTTTTGCGGTATTACGTTTTGCTTTGGACATTGCTTTTGATTTCCGTTTTAGTGTGCGCATGGTATTCTATCGCGTAAAATATTCCCGTTATAACTAGAGTGACTGCCGTTCAATAAATGGTGTTTACATTTCTCTTGTTTTTTCCTATATTGTTTGTATTTTCCTAGCTACACAGCTACATATGCTTTCTTATCGGAGGACGGCATCGCACGAGCCTCCTATTTGCTTTGATGCGCCCGCGATACTAAACTTCCTATTTTTTGATAGCAATAAACTATTTATTAATATTATTAGAATTTATAGTATTATTTCTACCGGAAATGGTCACTGTAGTATGTAAGACCCGTCGCAGTGGTCTATGCTACGTGCCAGGTTGAACAGGTTCGTGCCCAGCGTCGTGAGTTTCGCTTATTAAACGGCAAGGGTCCGCCGTTCAAAGAAATGTGTAGCAATGAAATAATTTAATGTTCAATGGTTTTTACAGAATAGTCTCTTTGCACGAACTATATATGTACCGGGCAGTAATAAAATTTAATAAATTATGAAATAAAAAAACCCCGAAAGAGTCATATATATGAGACACCGTTGTACTGTGAAACTACATACTTTTAAAGAAGTTTAGCTGAACGTATCAATTTTTGAATATCTGAACTTTCTAATAAATAAGGAAGCGGTTTTGCGAGCATGTAACTGATCATGATGTTTAAATCCCGAGACAAGGAAGGAAACTTAAAGGTTAGAAGGGACATAAGAAATGTGTCAGGTTCGTCTGTCACATTTCTTATGTCTTTTCTAATATGCCTTCAAGTAACCTTCCCAGTTCCAAAGTATAGAAATTCGTATTAATACGCGCCAGCTCGCCAACAATTAAGACAAAAGGTAACCACTGCAGAACCATTAATTAAAGGCGAGTTGGTACTCTGCGTTTATTGAAGTCTTTCACTGGAATGCTGCTGGGAAAAGTGCTATGCATTATATTTTCAAACGCAAAGCTTTATGTCATAAAAAAAATTAAGGGGAATCTTGTTTTCTATATTTTATAACAAGACGCTCCTTGCGGAGGATACTCGGTTTTTGTCATATCACATAATTTTAGCGAAACCTCTTTCTGGGTTCCCAGGATACTTTTGTTTTGCAGTGAGCATGACAAGCGTGGAATTTGGTAATTCACTGACACAATTCCGGGACTTGCGTTCGAATGTTTATGCGCTTACAATGTTGTTTTGTTTCTTTAACCATCTTGGTTCATAATTTACAACTCCCACAAAAGCGTTTTCACGCTCGTTTCTTCTCTTTTTTCAGGAAAGACATCTCCGAAAGCTCAATAATAAAAATGAATCTCCTGATCTCGGTGGCCTTCATTCAAATTGTCTACATTGCCGGCGTCCAGGCTACGTCAATACGAGTAAGCGGTCAACTATTTCCTTCTATTTTATTTGTTTTGCCTATTTTTTTATTGCATACATAGAATTACCGGGTGTGAAATAAAAAAAAAGGGTTCGCTGTGCAGTATTCCAAAAAGTGGACGACGTCTTAGTGTATAATGTACGGCCGCGTGCAACGAAATTATACTCCGCTTCACAATACGTCGGACCGAGGCTACGATGCAGTGGATTCAATCAAGCAAGCGCCAACAGTGCGCCGCCATATGGCACTCATCGCCTATGTGCGCTTACTATTACCCACTGAACCAATCAAGCACAGTAAATACGCCGCTATCCTTCGCTTTTTTTTTGTTTGTGCGTGATTGGTATGGCCGGTGAAAGCACACCCACGAGCACGGTGCTGTGGGCGGCATTACGTTGCACTTTTGCCGCTGCGTGATTATTAACTCCGTATGATCCTACTGTCGGCTGTGGCCATTTTTAAAGTGAAGCGGGGTATATTACAGGAGGAGGCTCAAGCTTCGCATTTAAGAGTGGAACGCGGTAGCTAAATGTAAATCCCCGCCCTTTTCCAATCCTCTCCGGGCTGTCCGCTTGGCCTAGTGGGTAGAGCGTCAGGCTCGCAACACAAAGGTATGGTTTCGATCCCGCTCCTCCTAGAATGCTTCGGCTTTTTTTTTTTTTTCTTTTTAGGTGAATGAATTACTCAGCTGCCAACGAGATTTCCCCGGCCCGCCGACGTCGGCTTTTCTGCACAACGAGCTCCCTGAAGCTATCGCTTTAGAAAGTAATTTTGGGAAAATTAGAGTAGGAGCGTTGCACTCCGGAGTAGAGGCCGTTCATTAGCATCTAACAAAATTCACACTTTTTTCGTACACTACACTCCCATCCGTTAAGAGCTCGTACCAAATAAGTATTAAAAATTTACCACGTAAAACGTTACCTCCAGGTGGTGTTTAAGTTGTGTTTTAATCGTCTTTTAAAACTTTTTATTTAAAGGGTTGGACATACAATTTCCTCGTCTTGGAAAAGGCTGCAACGCTGTGCATGGTTTTGTGTGTGTGTGTGTGTGTGTCTGTTACGCAAATGTTTTTTTTTTTATGCTAATAATAGCGGTGAAGTGGAAGAATGCTAACTCAACGTGTTCATCCGATAAAAGCGTGGTATCTCCATGGTAGCATTAAAAGGCGGCAAACTGATCGCACTATTATTTGTATAGCGTGTTCTGAGTGTTCCATCATTGGTGGCGAATTTCGTCGCTGTGGAGGAGAAGAAACGAGACTGAAGAATGGCTGCCAAGCAGTGGTATGGAACTTGCACGACGCATGAAGATTATACAAATGCATGCCGAAATAATAACTTTTTTATATGTGGAAACCAGGAGGAGTGCTATTTGCATCGCATAATATCCGATTTAGCAGCGCGAACGCCCGCCCCTTCAACGTGCGCTCGAGCGACCTCGCGTAAAATTCCGATTCCGATGGATTGCATTATATCGATCAATAGCGAGAAAAATAAGATGTCCTACTGCGAAATATCAAATGTACAGAAGAAAAATAAAGTGTAATGCTACGACGCTCTACGGCCTCCCAAGAATTATTGTCTTGTTGTGGGAGGTACAGTAGCGAGAGCGCTGCTTTATAAAGCGCTTTTCTTTTCCGGGGTTACATGTGCAAAAACGATTTTATTTCGAACACCGACGTCCTTACGGCTCTGCTTTTGATTGCGCTGTCAGCTGCATGTAAAAGGGAATAGAGCTTCGTCGAGTAGCTTGTGTATCTTGGCAAGAGTGTGTGCTTCATTCTAATATACATCATTCAATCATCGGTCATTGCCATGCCTCGTGAAAATGTGCAAGTTTAAGAATGACTTGGAAGGATCCGAATGAAGTGATCCAGGTCATCATCAAGCATCATCGAGGCAACCATCTGCGCTCATCATAAATTGTAACTGCGCTTTCCCGTACCCAGACACTTCCACTAGACCAGGGGTCTCGAAACATTTTGGTTAAGGGGCCGGATTAGCGATCTGTCGCAGTCTCGAGATGCGGAATAAAGAAAAGAGTAATTCCAATTCAAGTGAAAATAAATAAACGATTCTAGATAATCGTTTAAACACAGAAATGAATGTTAGAGTGTTAAAAAAAAACCAAGGTGGATGCTTACGTATATGTCAAATAAAAATTTATTATTTATCTAATTATGACCGTACTCAACACTTGTGACCTTGTAAACTCACCAGGCATAAATCACAGCGCATAGGAACTTTGCCACATTCGCGCAGTGCAAAAGACTAATGAGAATGATAAAACTAATGCCGACAATGTGCAATAGTTGTGAAAATGACACTAAGCACAATGTGCGGTCATGTTGATACCGAAAAGCTCCACGTAAACAAGCGTTTTTTTTTTGTTAGGAGTGTCTGATTAGTGACTTATGTTCAAACTAGCGCTGACGTCTGGACTCGTATATGTGGAGGAAGTGGAGGAGCTTATCAACGTGAACAACCGTTATCATTTGCGCCTTTGTCGCCGCTGTCTGATTAAAAGCGGGAGAGAATTCTCGAAACGGCAGGTAATACGGGCAGTTCGCGTTGATAAGCTCCCCCTATTTGCTCCACATGGACGAGTCTGACGTCAGCTCTAGTTCGAACGTAAGCCATCAGTCAAGCGATCCTAAGAAATAAGCGCCTGCTCGCGTGGATCTATTTAGTACCTGCAACACTATACATGAGAACGTAATATGATTTTAACGTTGCTACACAGACATGAAGCAGGGGACTAAGAACGATAATGCCAGTAATATCAATGTTCAATATTTTGGTGAGAGGACCCGTATTACAATGCCGATTTTGTTATTTCTTATGTCTTAGTTTGCGCATTTAGAGCGCGTTGCGCCGCCGTTTCTTTACGCACACTTATTTTTGCGCCGCTAGCAGCGGGTTTGCAATGTAAGCGGGCCGCAGGCCGGGCTTCAGTGAACAGACCGCGGCTAGCGGCGCGCCAGTCGCAAGACTTCCGAGGTCCAGATTTGGTTCGCGGGCCGGGGTTTGGAGACCCTGTACCAGACAACAGCATCCGACTGAGAGCTCACCGAACCCTCCCGCGGGCTCACTGTACCAAGTGCACTGTCGCATTCAACATGAGGTGTCCTTCATGCGCTTTGGCGTACTTGCTAGTTTTTAATGAAATGTGGCTCGAACATGAAATGAAATGAGAAATTGATGTCCTATACTTTGAACTCCCTGACAAATAGAGCCATAATAAAGCTTGTGGGGACCGCAGACAAAGAGAAAGGCCGAATCTGGTGTTTCGGGTCTAATTGATTGTGATTGTACCACGGTCTCGGTGGAACACACTGGCTTTCTGCTTTCGTGTAAGGACCGGTTCACACACCTGCGACTGCTTACAACCGCCCGCCTTAAAACCTCTCAAATTCTTTTCAAGGCGAGAGAACAGACTGGTGCCATCTATCGGGTAGACGTGGGACACTTGCAGTTTTTGTTACAGTATTTCCTTTTTATTGCGCAATTTTTTTCTGGCTTTGAAAAGCGTTAATAACATTATACACGACCATTTATCATACATAGTGCGTACATTTAGTCTCGCGAATACCGAAAAACCTTCGTTTTTGTGAAATGTAGTCCCAGGGTGACCCCATACGTGGCGCCAGCGTGCCAGTATGTTCTCTCGTCGTAAGAAATCACAGGCATCAAACAAATCAACTCGGTTCTTAGCAAACGCCTGTGTTAACGTGCCTTAACTTGTTCATGCCTCCAGAGAGGACCTCTTTGGGACGTGCCCTAACTGTTCACGCCTCCCGAAGCTTATCAGGCAACCCTCGCAGGAAGTATGCTACAGCGTGGCCATCGTGCTGCACTACCTGTTCCTGGTGGCCAGCTTCTGGATGCTGTCGTACGGCATCCACCTGTACCGGCGGCTGCGCAGCTCGGCGGCCCTGGCGCCCTCGGTGCCGCCGTCGGCCCGGCTGCTGCGCCCGCGCACCCGCGACTACTGCCTCCTCTCGTGGGCGCTCCCGGGGGCCCTGGTCGTGCTCTCGTTCGTCGTCAACCCCAGGGGATACGAGATACGCAGATAGTAAGGCGCCCCTTCTTTCTGCGGCGATGGCCGTCATCGGCGAGGTTTCGCAGAGGATTCCGTGTGTTCGTCGTGGGCCGCTAAATTTAGCGGGGAATCACACTCTTGTCACAATGTGATGTCACAGTGTCGCGATGTCATAGTGTCGTCACGCCGTCGTGTCATGACGTCAGTGTCCAATTGTGGTGTTAAGTTTAGTGAAAAAACTTTCGTGGAATTTATCCGCTAAATTTAGCCGAATTTAGTGTCACGTTACGCCATGGTTCCACATCACGTCGTATTGCCACTTGATGCCATATGAAGATCGTCCGTGAAATATAGAGGAAGGAAAGTTAAGGGCGCTAAATTTAAACGCAGCAATGTAACTGCGCGACGGTGTACAGCGCAGTTCATTCGCAAAACCCAGCGAGATACCGGGAGTTTTTTAGGCGAGGGCCTTATATGTGCCATTATGCGAAAAGGCGTCGACGTTGTCCCCGAAAGATGGCCATAAGAATACGTCATCAAACACGCGCCGCTCAAAGTCAAAGCGGATGCGCCTCAGAAATAAAACACAAAGAAAAGCATAGCAACGCAGATGCTTCGTCATGGAAGCCGTGAAGCAGGCGGGGACGCTCAAGGTCAAAGCGGGCATGCCTAAGAAATAAAACAGAAACAAAAGCACAGCAACGCAGATGCTTTTTCGCGGAAGCCGTGAGGCCGGCGGGGGCTCCGCGCCTGTACAGTGGGGGAGCGTGATGTCACCGCCGGAACGCCGTGTACGAAAGGCATGGCCCGCTGCTCTTAGGAATGCGCTGCGTGTATGAATGTTTTCGCATTCCTACACGTAACCAATTTTAAGTTGTCTTCGACGTGTTCTTTTTTTTTTTTTTTTTTTGCAATATTGTAAGGCTCTTTATTTTCGCGGCCCCTTTTTTTCGTGATTTGGTCAAAGAGGACATAATCGCGGTCACTACATTCCGCGAATACCAGACACCTGCATTGAAACTTTTAAAGAGCTCTTGCAAAGAAAAAAAAGTTTTTTTAAACAGTCTGGTAGGGACACGCGTGTCAAAAAAATAATTTTACGTGAAAAACATGTTTTTAGAGCAATATCGACTTCGCGAAATTTATTTAAAATTCTGCGCACAAAGTTCATGACGTTACGGAATAGTCCTGCACTCTTTCCGCCTCAACAAGATGCTCATTTGCTCTTTCCAGTCTGGGGGGAGTGGAAAGATTTCGTGCGTAAAAATGCTGGCGAAGAATGAATTCAACGAATCGGCAGCCTGGTCATCACCTTGGTCATTTATGAACACTGGGCTATCTCTAGATTCTTTTGGATTTATTATATTCCGGAATCGCTAGGGGTCTGTGGATAAGATCTGCGGCAAAGTCACTGAAAAGAAAACCTTTTTCGCTTTCTTTACTTCGCTTTTACACAATTTTATGAAGGAGTGGTATGATGGCCAAACATCAAAATTGTTTGTTTTGTTTGCATTTGCGAATAATCTTTTCTTTTTACTTAACATACGTCTTCAATTGATATTAAACCAGGGAGATGTACGATCACACCGAACTGAAGTTTTGGGAACAAATGTTTCGAGTAGTTTTATGAAAGTATTTTTAATGAGTACCCAGTTTTCACTTGCGGATCGGTCACAATTTGATGAGATGTAATACCTTTCAGAGTTCGTTATCGTCTACTGTCAGTCCTTCAATATTGGTTCGTGAAAATGCGAATATCTTTTTCGGCGTCTTTTCGGAACGCGTTACTCCTAATGATATTTCGATTTGAATTAAAGCATGGTCACTTATATGCTCCATGATAGTGACGGACGTCACACATTTGGGTTTATTAATAAAAAACAGGTCTAATATCGTGTCAGGACGGGTTGCCGAGGTGATAATTTGTTGGAGACCATACACACCAGTTATAGAAAGGAACTCCGTATACTGTCGAGAGTTTGCACAGTCAGGGAGCGGCATTAGTTTTGACCGGTTTATTTCGGGATAGTTAAAATCGCCACCAAGAAAGAAGTGATCACTACAAAATTCTTTGGTGACAGTTCCAAGGGTATGGTATAATGAAATCTTTAAATCTGAGCGATTAAAATGAGGTGGACGATAACAAACACCTGCTATGACACAGCGAAATTCCAGTTTAATACGAATCCACAAAATCTCGAGATCAGAACAACATTTTACTTGCGAGCATGACACACGTTTTTTGACAGCGATGATTACGCCACCACCTCTAGCCAGTGGTCTATCTTTACGAAAAATATTGTACGATAGTTTAAAATGAGCTCATCATTTTTTTTTATTGGTAGTTAACCACGTTTCCGTTCCAAGAATGACGTCTGGCTGGCTAAAGCAGGTGGCGTTATCAAGTTCATCCTGTTTCGATAAAATGATTCGGAGATTTGCGACAAAAAAAGAAAGGTTAAAAGAGACAGCGCGATTTGGACGTTGTTGGTTTACAGTGAGTCAGTTGTTTGATACTCTGTCTTGGTGGGGCGCACGAAGCAGAACAACTGAGTCACTATCGGCATCATAACCATATGTTGCTCTTCCGTAATGTAGTTTATTGTAACTAATCTTATATTTTGCGCCACTATTTTTCAATTGTTCAGCAAATTCCTACAAATTCTGTTCTATAATTGTACGAAAAATAAATAAATACAACTTAAAAGTATATATAAACTGTTCGCACGTTAAATGACAAGTGAGCGTCCTCTTGGGTAGATTGCGTTATATGTTTGCCAATGAATAGCTTGAAGACTAAGGACCTTTTTTTTTGTACCGCAAAATCTTCAGTAAGATTTTTCTCTTTTTTTTCTTTTTGTCAGAAATATACTATTTTTGTCGGAAGTTCTAACGTCGGTTATCAATTTCAAATTAAAAAAAAAACGCGCTATTAGCCGTATCACGTCGAGGACGTCAGTGTCTAGACGGGCATATATCAAAGCCAATTATGGCAGTCACTAATGGATGCCGCGACACACGTAAAAAAAAAAAAAGTTTGCCGTCGTTTTGCAGCAGCCAATTACACCCTTAAATCGGAAACACGTGCCATTAAATTTTAAGATTTATCATCAACTCGCTGTTCTAACTTTTCAAACGACCCATCTAACATTTGTACGTCCGAGTAGTCGTCTTGAAACTATAGACAAGAATTCCCGAACAATCTGAGACTGGTTACTTTGAAATGGAAACAATGATAACGCAGATATTGTACGTAGCGCACTGAGGAGCGCACAGAAAGCAATATCGATATACGCCCGCAATAATAGCGCACATTTCGCGGGTTCCCTCTGGCCAACACCGAGCGTATACCTTCGCCGCAGACTTCCAAATCCATCGCCCTCATCTTCCCGGTATGTAGTCGCGGGAAGGTGGGCGCTTGGTCTCGTTCCCGCGGCGCGGCTGCTTCCCCGTGGCCGTTTTCTGCTGCAAATTGGTGTGGCGAGATTTTGAGAGTGCCTCCAACTGTTGGATTTGGGGTCGCGTGGTTTATCGGCCGCGCTTGCAATGCGAGCTGCAAGGAGGACGTAAAAGAGTCGACGGCTGCCAACGTGTTCACCTCTCCATCCGCCTTTCCTCCTCTCCACGTGAGGCACGCGCGCTTGCTACCGATCTGCCTAGGAGGCGTCCGTGGTGAAATTGCAAGCGCCTCTTACGGTTGGAGTTGTTCCCTCTCTTGAATCTAGGCTCTCTGCTGCAAATGAGTTTCATTAGCGGCCTCACATCGATTGAGCGTCGTCCAACGCGGTGGCGACGCCTTATCTGCCGGACCCCTAATTACGCCCGCGGCGGCCGCTCTACCGCTGATATCAACTTCCTCCTCAAAATACTCAACTTGTACGCACATTTAAACTTCCCTTTGGCAGTTCAAAACAAAAAGAAAAGAAAAATAAAAAGAAATAGTTGAACACCGGGTCGCCAAATCCCATTTGAGGTTCTCATTATGAAGTTTTTGACTTCAGCTTTAAGTTTATCTTGATCATAACGAACGCTTATTGGAGTCCAGGCGTGGAAAAACAGTATTCACTCTAGTTATGAGGCAATTGCCCGTAACGCTATGTAGAAACGAAAAAAGTGGCAACGACGGTTCTCTACCAGCAGTCAGCAGAAAGGTATTGTCGAGCCACGCGATAATGGGGAGTTTTAGGGGAGTTATCGGTACGATATGTTCAAATTTCTTAACATCTCAGAGAAAAGCAAATTCCCGTCTGAAACCCATACATCGTGCCCAGAGAGCATTTGTTATCATGGTATATTTTAATGTTTGATGGGGTTATGGGAGAACGGGATCAGGGTACGCGCCTTCAAATAAATGATAAAAGTCAATTGTCTTTTTTTATCAAAACACTTTTATTTGATGTTCCCGTTTTCTCGCAAGCGACATCAGACTAAAGAGGTGTAAAACTGACATGAATTCAGACGCTGCAGAGCGTGTGGGTGAAGCGTGTTGGTGTAGCGCAGAGCGTGTTGGTTGGTTCACACAAAGAGAACAAAACAAACTCGGGACAAGAAACGACGAACAGATATTTTCGTTTCATATATTTTCTTCGTCGTCCCTCAATTCCCAAGTTTGTGCCAGGACGTAAATATTGGTAAATATAAATTGCTCTTACCTTCACCTGAAAGATATCGATTAAGGTCGTCTTTTATCTACTTGAATACCGCGACCCATTGGCATGTTGCAAACTACCTTCATGGCAAATCTGGCCCCCAAAGAGTCTGACTTCGAGATAACAGATATTTCTATCTGTTTCATGCGTATCATCGGCTTGTTTGTAATTGTAATTAAAATCATTTATCTTTTGTGAAGTAAAAACTCTTGAGCGAAAGTATATTTTTTCTCAGAATCCTATTTCGTGGAAGTGAAGCATGCGACTGAAGAAATTCGCAATTTGAGAAAAATAATAGCAGACAAATAAAAACAAAACAACACCGTTTTAAAGGAAGCCGTAATACCAGAGGGACGTGATATTACTTCGATGTAACAGTATACA